TCCGGAGACTGTGAGGGCCAATCCATTAGTGGAACATTATGTTCATTTAACCAATTTTGAACAAACCGAGATTTGTGCTTGGGATCATTGTCTTGCTGGAACAACCATCTGAGTGGCATTTCTTCATCAGCATGAGGCAGCATATTATTCTCCAATATGTCTTTGTACAAAAAACGGTCCATTATCCCATCAATTTTAACAAAAGGACCAACACCCCCATACCATTATACTCCCACCCCCATATTTTACTGTGGGCATCTGGTATTTATGGCTGTACCGTGTACCTTTTGGTCTTCGGACATAACGTCTCCCGTCACTACCAAACAGTTGAAACTTACTTTCGTCGCTAAACAGTACAGTATTCCATTTCTGATAAGACCAGGTGAGATGATCTTGAGCAAATTTAAAGCGGGCCATCCTATATTTCTTTGGTATTAGTGGTTTCTTCACCGCAACTCTTCCAAAAAGTCCCATGTCATCCAACCTTCTTCTCACCGTGCGTGCAGACACCGATATTCCCCTTTCACCCATTTCTCGAGAAATGTCTGTGGATGTTTTTTTGGATCTCCCATTGATATTCTCTTCATTACTTTCATTGTCCTGTTGCACAACTTTCTTGGTTTTCCTGACTTAAAAGCTGTTGAAACCTTCCCTGTTTTATTAAATTTACGAATTATTTTCGAAACGGTGCCTTTTAAAATGTTTAAATTTTTACTTATTTGAATTTGTTTATAACCGCTCTTGTATAATTCAACTATTTTATTTTTAAATCCGTAGAGAAATATTTAGACTTGGGCATGATGTTTATATTTATCTGAAGCAAATCGTACCGTTTATCAGCTTAAACTAAATAATTTTAATGTATTTATTTATGGTTTCCATACTTTTGGCTACAAGAAATCTATTGTTCTCCTACAAAAACTGCTAAACAGATTTTTTTCGCTGTGTAATTTTTGGAATACTTTTATTTGCTGATAAGCTGTTCATTTATATTTCTGAGAGTTTAAGCATAGCAATATTTTCTGTGATATTTTAAAAAGTAAAAAGTTTCCATACTTTTGGCCACCACTGTATGTAGGTAGAAAAAGAAGAAAAAAATAAGGGGTGTTGTATTTAAAAAAATTGAGATATAACATTAAAAATATTGCGAGGTCGCAACCACGCCATAAAAAATACCCTGTATATAATTTTAATAATAATATAGTAAATACTAGAAGGACCACTTTACAAAGAGAAAATATGTCGTCGGTGAAGCTGGAAAATATTTTTACTAAAATTTTTGTAGGGGTTTAGTTTTCACCCTTCCCGTACTTTTTCTTAATTTTTGTAAAAGTTAAATGTTAAAGCACTTGGCAAAACATTCAAATCGGAATAACGGTTTTTAAAATATCTGAAAAAATGTGTTTATTTTTAAAGTTTGATGCCCTCTAGCGGACAAACGAAACACTTTCGTATAGAGGTAAATTATGTCCAATGAACTTATTTTGATTCCAGAAATATGTAGTAGTTCTATGTCCACGGAATATTGGGACACCCTGTATATTCAGAATGTTAATGCTGAACTCAATCCTGTACAAAAAAATGGTTGAAACCCCATTTTTTTAAAAAACTTACAACTTTATTATTACTTTTGTTTGGGACGCTCTATATAAAAATATGTTTAGGAAATGCACCTTTATAAAGCCCATTCAACATTTACATAAAACTTTTTTTTAATATCTTTGTGACGAACAACGATATTGGCTTTCCTTGCACTAATGGGCCACCCTGTATTTTTTTATGTTGCCCTAATTTAGAAATAGTATTAAAATGAAGTAACATTATCTAAAAGAAAACAGTGACATTGAACTTATATTCTCTTTATTTTGTATCACTCCTAAACATATTTGCATTTATTTAAAAATCGCCCTGTATGTGTATTCGATTGGCAATTCCCTTGAGCAATAAAAAATAATATACAGTATTCCTCTTAACAAACCATATTAATGTTAAAAGTTTATTTGAATCACCCTTTATATCTATAATTAATAATATTGTTTGCTAATATTTATGTTTTTGCCATATCTTACAAAAAAAACGAAACCTAAGACATAAATGCCAACAATAAACTTTTAGGTGAATCATCAAAAGTCACTCTGTATATCAATCTAGTTTCTAAACTATTTTGAAAGATACAGAAATACTTGACAAATGCCATATGAATGCCATAAAACTATAAAACCTTATAAAACAGAAACTAAAAAATAACTTTCAAGTGCAGGTATTAAAAAAACTCGTTTTGTAATGTTTAAACTAATCTGTGTATTATTTTGATTTCTCAACATTTTGATGCTACTGCTTTAACAATTATGTATTAATTTTGCAATAAATTATGCATGTATATCTCAGACATACCGCAAATTCCGTTTAAAGGAAGATCAGAAACATGCAATATTACTAAAAGCAAGGCATTACTTACATTAAGCCTCTATCAGAGCAGGGACACTACTTTACAGCTAAAATTCGACTTTGCAACACAAATCAAACAATACTTAAACAGAAATACCACGTTTTACACATATACACAAAATAATTCAATAATATTTAACAAAAATAATTGTTATTCGCGAGAATAAAGAACATTTTTACCGTAGACAGTTTTTTATTTCTGTTATTTTGACAATTGTCAATCCATGGCTAACTCTTCGAATTTTCCCAAACAGCGCTCTGCGTTGTAAGTCAAGCGGAGAGCTAAAGCCGATTCTAGACTAATTTTTTGAGTAATTTAAAGCTTGATTTAGATCATAGAAGCAACTGATAATTAAAATTTCTTTTTATTAATTCATTTTTGTTTAATATAAACTATTTTTTTTAAATAAATTATATTTAAATGATTATAGTTTTTACTGGTAATTAAAAAATACAATTAAAACGTAATGAAATAATGCTCACAACAGATGGAAACCAATTGCTGGTAATTTATAGTCAATGGAAGACCCATATATTCGTATGTAATGCTATAAACACATGTACAGAGTGAGCCAACGATGATGTAAAGGTTAAGATATTATGAAAATTACAAAAAAAATAATAAATAGAATAGTTTTAAGAAATTGTTATGGATAAACTATATAAAATTATTTTTGTATATACCCAGCGCGTAAAACTAAAAAAATAACTATTAAAAATATGTACAGGGTGAGTCAACGATAGATTAAAGTCCATTATCTCATTTGTTTCGAAGTTTACAAAAAAATGTTAAATATAAAAGTTATAGACAAGGTTGAAGTACATATTTTAAAACGATTATAGAGTATACAGAGTGCTTCAAAAAAGTGTGGCAGAAATATTTTTTTTTAATGCAATACCCTATTTTTTATTTTATTTTTAGATTCTGTGTAAAATGCTATAACTTTCTTATAGGTATATAATATTATATACCTAAAATTAACAGTTTTTGTAATATTTGAGTTTGTTTAGACAAACGTTAGATTTCAGTGTGGTGAAAAAGTGTCAGTGATGCCATTGATTATGAAATTAGACTATTAAAATTTGGTAAGAGAGTTTTATAGAGATGAAGAAAAATATATATAGAGATATTTTAATTAGATGCTATAGGGTGTTTAAAATATAAATAAGTAAACTAAAGTCACAGTCGTGAAGTTCTTGGCGTATTTCTATGTTATGAAAGATGAGACTTAGATATTCCCTTGGCGCGAATAGCCATAGATTAGGGTAATACTAGATTAGCTAGTTGTTGACGATTACTGATAGGTATAGGAATTTTCTTCAACATAAAATATTTTTTTCTCGTAGCAATTCTGGTTTATAATTCATTTCGGAATACTAATTACTACTGCCGCGGAACCGTTCCATTACACACTGAAAATGTTTTCTAGATAATCTACATCTATTCCTATAGTACTTAGCAATGTACTATATAATATAAAATATATATATATATATATATATATATATATATATATATATATATATATATATATATATATATATATATATATATATATATATATATATATATATATCTGTAACTATTTTCTCTACCATCTATACATATTACATATTACAACAAATTAAACTAAAATTGAAGTTCTGTTCTTGACATGCTTAACAGACATTAAATTTTGATAATTATGACTTTAGTTACGTCATGGCAACTATGATGTTACCCCATAATTGTATTAAAATATGGGTAAAAATTGGAATAAATCGCGAAATATTAAAAATAGGTATAGTTGAAGAGTTTTGTAAAATCTATCAGAAAAAAATGATAATATATAGGGTGTGTCATTTAAAAAATTTCGGATGTTTTAATTTTAAGTAGTTGGAATTCATAAATATATTTTGAACACCCTGTAGCATCTAACTAAAATATCTTTACATATATATTTTTCTTCATCTCTATAAAACTCTTCTACCAAATTTTAGTACTCTAACTTCAGAAACAATGGCATCAATGACAATTTTTTACGACACTGAAATCTAACATTTGCTTAAACAAATTAAAATTTTACAAAAACTATTAATTTTAGGTATATAATATTATACATAAAAAAGTTATAGAATTTTATGCAGAATCTAAAAATAACATAAAAAATAGGGTGTGTATGTATATTATTGCATTTTTGGCTTCCATCCATCACCACTCACACTTTTTTGAGCCACCCTGTAAAAGTTAAAATATTTTTCTGTATCTTGCGTAAGAGGCATTTCCGACCCATAATGTGCTATATCAAAATTAATATTTCGACGTCCCCTACCATTCCTCGAAAGCATGAGCGACTTACAGGAATCACCCTGTATACTTCAAGTTTGCACTATTACAAAATTTCTAAGTTTTTTATTATAGGAGCTACATATGCCCGACACACTATTGCCGGACACTATATAAGCAGTATAAGTATTTAAAAATGTAAATTCTTTTTGGTCTACCTAAAAATTGATTCATAAGCTAGTAAAAATACGACAGAATGGAATATTAAACACTAAAAAGTACTCACCCTGTCAGCTACGCCTCCCGGAAGAATAGTTTTGACCACGACTCCGGTACTACGGCCGCCAATAATTCCAAAAGCCAATCCGGAGCCGTCGTTTATGAGCTCTATAACTTCAACTTGGGCCCACTCGGTGGTTAACTGTAAAGAGACATTAATTTATTTATACATGAAGTGAACGTAGAAATATAGAATAGATGAAAATTAATAAAATTATAAACACATACCACCATTTCTTATTAAAATGGATATATTAGCCCAGCATTCCATCTGGTCCTATAGTACAATGTAGGTATTGTTCTTGTTGATTATGGTTCATGGTAAACTGAAAAACAAAAGAAAATTTTGATTAAAATTTATTAAAAGCATTAAATAATGCATACAAATAATATCATGACAACAAAATTTGTGACCTTATCATTTTCTTATAACTTATACAGGGTGTTTCAAAAAACAAGTGCCATCTCTCGTAGGGATCTCTCCTCACGTAAAAATAAGATTTATTTTTCATATCAACATAGGTCCGATTCTGCTTTGTTTCGTAACTACAAGGTGTTACTAGAGCAACGGACGGCAAGGCTAAACCTATGCAAAGTCCAGAGACTAGAATGCGTTTGCACCACAGGAGCCATGAGAACCTGTCCAACAGCAGCAATGGAGGTCATTCTAGATCTGACACCACTGCACATTGTCATTGGTAGATATGCCAATGCGACAATGATTAGAATGGTCACTAACGGAATTAGTACTGGGAGAATTGTCAGATCAGGGGCTTGGAACACCCTCAAAAAGGAAATGCCACTCCTGCAACTCCCAGTGGACGATATGCCAAGAACGTACAACTTTGAGAAACATCTCAATGTAGTTTTGAGCAATAAAAAGGATTGGAAGAGCGAAACGCTTGCCCAGCAGTTAAAAGACCATACCATAACTTGGTATACTGATGCTTCCAAAACCAATACGGGAACTAAATACTCCGAACCAATGGGCACTTACCCTAGTATCCTACAGGCAGAAATCTACGCTATCGCAAGATGCGTACAACTTATCTTAGATAGGAACTATCGGAAACAAGAAATAGCCATATTGTCTGATAGTCAAGCAGCGTTAAAAGCGATCAACTCAGTATCAATCAATTCGAAATTGGTCAAAAATGCATAGAGAAGCTGAATAAATTAGGCAAAGAAAACGAAGTCCTCCTACTCTGGGTGCCTGCTCACCAAGGGATAGAAGGCAATGAAGAAGCAAATAATCTAGCTAGGAAAGGAGCGAACACTCCACTAACTGGACCAGAACCGTTCTGCTTTCCAAGTGGTAACCAACTCAAGGCGGAACTCAAGAACTTTTCCATCCGCAACCTGGAATGGAAATCTTGCAACGGTCTAAGACACTCGAAAAAGTTTCTGAGAGCTTATGATCAAGAAAAATAACAGCTCTTCCTGGGTTTAAGTAAGAACAATCTTCGGATTGTCACGGGGTTTTTAACAGGACACTGTCTCCTCAATGAACACCTCAGTAGATTGAAACTAAGAAGAAACGGCGAATGCAGATTCTGTGTTCACCAGTACACCTCATCACTGAGTGCGCCGAGACGACAAGCATTCGTGCCATGAATTTTGGTACGACTGATATTGGAGATGGAGATCCGGAGATACTGGCTTTTGTCAAAGCCCTGGGACTGTATGATGAGTTATGACTCAAGAAAGGGGGACACAATGGATCTGTAAGGTCGCAGTGATTAACCCCCCTCCCACTCATTCTAAAAAATTCTAACTACAAGGTGTTAAATTCTTAATATTTTTTTGATTTATTATAATATTCTTCCGCAAGTACTTTTAGCGTTTTCAGTGAAATTTTGAGGGTAAAAGTGACTATAAATGCTAGATATTTTAAAGCTAAAAAAGTGTCGACATATTCAACAGGGATGCATACGGATTATCACTGGAATATTTTTCTAAAAAAAGCATGTACTCCACTGATTTTTTTCTCTTGTTAGCAAAATAGTGTCAGCAGTTTAATGCCGATTAAAAGTTGTCTCTTAATATTTTGTCGATTTCGGCCTCTTTGATGATATAAACGCAATTTTATTAATTCCAAAATAGGAACCTTTAAAAAATTTTAATATCATTAACTTGCGAAAATTTTAAAGACATACTCATTGATTCCTCATCAAAAAATATGAAAAAAGTTCGTATAAACATGGGTATGGAAATGCATAGTTTTAGAGTAACAGGATATTAAAACTTTTTAAAATTAGGTTTTTTGTAATTATCTTAAATACCATTATTTTTTTATTTGAAATTACTGTAGGTTGGACTTATAGTAATAATAACTAATAGTAATAATATTTAATAATAAATTAGTTAAAATATATCACTCATTAATTTTATTTTAATTTTATTAATTGTGATTAATAAAATTGCGTTTATCTCATCAAGGAGGCCGAATTCGACAAAATATCAAGAGAACTTTTAATTGACATTAAACGTCCTACACAATTTTGATATCAACAGAAAAAAAGTCAGTGGCGCACATGCTTTTTATATTTAAAGTGATAACACTTAATAACTTTGATACAACTGATATCGGAGATGGAGAACTAACCTCTATAAAACCGTCTCAATAGTTATAACTAAAAAAAGGGGGACACAATGGATCTATATGGTCGCGGTGATTAAATTTCCCTCTAAATACAACCTACAGTCTACACCAATTGCAAGCCAAATGGTACCCACTAAAAAAACTTTTATTAAATTTCTAGTATTATATTTTTTGCTGGATGTAATATTATTTCTTTCCTGTGTCCTACTCAAATGAAATGGCAAAGCTGTCACCAAAATTTATTATATCCAAGATATAAGAATATTTATTTTTCTTACATACAGTAGAGTAATTTCCCTACAGATATTTTTGAAATCCCAATGCAATAAAGAAAATAAGGAAACGTGACGAATCGATATTCAATCTTTGAATCGTTTTTTTTTGCTTGGGTTGTTTGTCATTTAAAGTGCGTCTTTTTAGAAGATATCAAAACTTTCTTTTTAAAACTTTTCAAGCGCACAAACATGATTAATTGACGGACTAATTGGGGATGGAATTAATTGGGGATGATACTAGCATAGAGGCTAATCGTAATTGGCACAAAATGTATTGATTTGATTTAATTAATTGTGTTTAGATGATTTTTTAGTTTTTTGTATTACAAAAAATGCAAATATGGTTTAGTGTTAGAAGTTAAATTATATGTTTCTTTATTTATACAGGATGGTCCGAATTGTATTCGGGAAACTTTGGCAGCATATTCTGCATATAAAAAGTTCGTATAAATATAAATGTATGTCCAAAAATACAGGGTGTAGAATTTTCATTTTTATTTCGAATCTTTCCAAATAATTTCTGAACTAACGAAGTTTTTTAACATTTGATGAAATTTGATTTCGATGTCAATGTGACTCCTACTTGTAGAGAACGCCACCTACATATTTTTTAAACTTGTTTGAAGAGTAATAACTTTTCGTCCTTACCTGTATAAAACTACTGAGTGAAAAAATATACATTTGTAATACAACTAATACACAGCTCGGGACCTCTACTACCAGAAATCAACAGAAAAATTAAGTTAGCATGGAGTACTTATATGGAAGAAACTCAATCATATTCAAATCTAGAATGACACTCTATCTAAAGACGAAAACATTCGACCAATGTGTACTATACTTTGTTTTTTTTTCTCAGGTAAGATTTCGACAGACGATGACAGAAGAAAAGCAGATGACGTCCCATACCAATCTATTTATTTTACTAAAAAAAGTTTCTAATAATTTTTAAGTTATCTATGGATGGGTTTAAATATAAATCCGTCATCCGTCGTGTCTTGTTTTTAACCAGTTTTATTGGTTTATTTAAAAAATGACAGATCGTATTTCAATTTTATTGGTTTGACGGAACGATGAACGACAAACGGACGCCGATGCGTATGAACTCGCCTTTAGATTTTTGTCATTTTTGACGCTTGTCAAAGTCTTGCCAAATTATAGGTTATAATTTTGTGTCAACTTTTGTTAAATACCCTGCGTTTTGGAAGATGATGCGTTTTGATTCGTGTTATTACGTGTGTTTTGTGGCTTTTGAAGTCAAGTGGAGGAAAAATCGAGGGAAAATTAACTGTAGACCCAGAGCACAGTTTATAGTTAATACTTGCTGCCCAAGCAGAAAGTCTTATACACCAATAAAGTTACCATCAATAAAGTTTGTATACCATCTCGTCGTAGATAAGTGCATATCGTATATGGTACAAGGATCATACTAAACATATACTAAAATCTGTAAAATATCGACATCACACGATAGGTAAATAATGGATTTTAGTACTGCAGAAAAATAATGTCAAAAGGTACTGGTTTAAAAAAATTAATATTAAAGTTAATTAATCAACATAAAAAAAATTAAATTTGGTAAGTGTTATCTATACTAATATATAAAATTCTTAAGTGACTGACATACTGATTAACCACCATCCTGCTCAAACCACTCAACGTAAGAAGCTCAATTTTGGCATACAGGTTTATTCTAGGGTGTAGAGGTTCGATAAGAAAGGATTTTTCGAAATTCCAGTTCCAAGAGGGTGAAACCACCCCTCAAATATTACAATATTTTTTATTTAAAAACGGTCAAGTTTCCGAAAAAACGCTTAAACACGTATATTTTATTTTGTTTTTTACATATTTTAAGATTTTTTTAAAACGTATACAGGGTGTTTCGAAAAATCTGGTCATTGATTAATCACGATCCTGCTTAAAGCGCTTGACTTAAAAAGCTGATTTTTGGAAAACAGATTGGCTTTAGGGTGTAGAGGTTCGATAAGAAGGGATTTTTCGAAACTCGAATTCTAAGGGGGTGAAACTATCCTTCAAATATTAAAATATTTTTTATTTAAATACCAATCAATATAGTTTTTCGGAAAAACTCTTAAACACGTATATTTTATTTTGTTGTTTTACATATTTTAAGATTTTTTATAAATTTATACAGGGTGTTTCATAAAACATGACCATTGAGTAATCACGATTCTGCTTAAACTGCTTGACGTTTAAAGCTGATTTTTGGCAAACGGATTGACTGTGAGGTGTAGAGGTTCGATAAGGAAGGGTTTTTCGAATCTCAAACTCCAAGAGGGTGAAAACGCCCCTCAAATATTACAATATTTGTTATTTAAAAAACGGTTAGTCTTTCGGGAAAACGCTTGGACAAGCATAATTAATTTGGGTTTTTTACATATTCTGAAATTTTTTAAAAAATCATACAGGGTGTTCCAAATAGTTGTGT